CTATTGTGGGAAATTTTGTAATTGGTGACAAACTGATAGAATACAACTGCAACAAACTGATCATTTCATTGGTAGGGAACATTCACATTTTGTGGTGTATGGTCCACACCAAACGCTCTTCTCGTTTTTTGGAAGAAAGTATGTGTTTTGGAGACTTTCGACGGCCTGACTTCGAGAATACGATTTTTTAATCACTTCAGAGTCTTGATGGTGACGACGTCATGATACTTGACGCCCTTAACCGTATCTATGTATGGGTTGGGGAAGGCGCTAACCCAAGTGAGAAAACTAATGCGGTCCATACAGCTGAGGCAAGTTAATTTCGCGCCTTTTGAGATTCTATGATTTCTTCACAGCACAACAAAACAGGTTGAAAGTGGTGACAATATTCGACAGGGAAATTGAGAACATCTCAGATCCGACAGCAAGGGTGTGTGATTTCCTTCTTTTTTTTCGAGAAAGTGACAAAAGTGTAATGTAAGTGTAAGTATAGTGCCGTTGCAGTTGGACAGCACAGGCCCGACTGGGCCAAATTCACAACTATAAATAGCTACAAATTACGCTGCATTACATTAAATTAAATATTGCGCGATGAGGTTGGCAGGAGTCTTGTGTGACAATACCTCTGTGCGATCAACGCGCATGATATTTGCGGACCATACCGTCTCCAGTTCCCTTCCCCCCCCCCCACCTCCAACCACGCGTCGTGCTTGGTTTCGGTACTGACGGGCCCCAAGGATTAATGGATTACCATAACAACCAAGGCAGAAGTCGTGTGAATGACACCTTTTGCTCTGTAGGATAAAGCCTTGGAGGGAAATCCAGATGTGATACTCTCCTGCCTGGAAAGAATCTGACAAGGGCGCTAGGGTATTGCGAAGTTAGCTGCAGCACCTCATACACTCTTCTCTGCTCTCGGCCTCTCATTGCGTAAGCAGACTCTCGCAAAGTGAGCAAGCCAGCTACTACAAGTGAGCAGCATCAGCACAATAGTCGACACCATGCCCTTGAGAAACCGTTCCATTGAATCGACCTACCCCCACGTGCCTACGGCCTAATTTGTTCCACTTAGTGGAAAGGTAAACGACCGTTTTTCCAAATATCCAGCATCTTTGTACTCTAAAAAACCGCCGAGTATTCACCGCATACACGATCTTTGAAACATGGAAGTGAGAGAGCAGAAACTTTGACTAATCCCTAAGTTCGATAATGCACTGCCGGTGCAATACACTACGATCGCCGCGCTCATCAAGTTCAACTATCAACGCAAGATGTACAATAGGCATTCATAGCCTTGGCAGTGCATTGTCGAACTTAGGGATTATCCATAGTTTCTCTACTTCAGTGGAACTCGAATTCACAGTTCCATCTACGAGAATGGACCATCGTAGACCACTCACAGTTAACCGTTGCTCTCCGTCATTTAGGAATTCCCGCAAAATGAACGATGGTCTTCCATACGGCTCCCACACTTTGCCCGTGATCAGTCTCATTATGGCCCTCCCCCACCACCCCACCACTTTCACTTCTATGACTGTTTGTAAAGAATCTGATTCCCCTACTAAAGCACTGCTTGACACCTTTCAACTCAGTCCCATACTCCTCCATCAGAGCCATCGAGCGGGGGAAGGGAGTTGGTATACACAGAGTTGTGAGAACAAAATTTCGCCTTTAATTGTTGTGTTTTAGACTTCTGCCCTTCTGCCTCCAAGTTTTCTGCGTGGGACTCTGCAGAACTCATGAAAAGCATATTCTATCCAATTCGCGAACCACCTAGAAACCTCGAGGTAGAAGTAAGAAACACAGCAAAAACAACAAAAATGCCGAGGTTTCTAGCTGAGAGGGTTTCAAAAAAATTTCGTCCAAGTTTCATCAAATCATTCCCGTCCATTTCAGCACCCTCTCAGTAGAATAAAAAAATTCCCGTTATCCTTGCCAGTCCCAAAAACCGACCCCCTTCCCCATACAGAAATAACCCCTTTAACTTCCACAAAACGAGCCCGCTTGAACCTGACGAACAGTTGACCATAGTGTACACCAGGACGGCATTACCGACTTTTTTCCAAATGCTTGAATACCATATACTTGAGGGGCGCTTTTGCACAATTTTTTGTTCCCACACCATTGGGCGGAAAAGAGCGGAGGCGAATCGCGACATCAACTTTGCACTTGTTCTCGGAATCACACTAAATAGCTGTGCAGTCGTCATTTGAAATCCTTAGTAGTGATGGCTAAAGCCTTCCTGGCTAAAAATTCACTAGAGAAATGAGACGTTGAAAGGGTGGTCAGCGATTTCTTTGACTCTCAGTCTGCTCAGTTCTGGGAAAGGGGGTCGCTGACCTGCCCATCAGGTGGGACTCTGTAGTGAGTAACAATGGTGATTATATGATGATTTATATTGTGAATGATTTATATTGTTGAGTAATTTCATTGTGTGCTGTATAAAAGTGAAGCAAGAAAATTTGAAACGGCTCAGGACTTTCTTACCATTCTAATACTTTTCCATCCATTTGGGTATCCTTCTATTATATAAACCGCTAACTTGGTGTGTCGGTTTATGTATGTGTGTGTGTATGTGTGTCCGTCCGCAAAATGAAGTGAGTGAGAAGGAAGCTCATGGGATAAACAACCGCTAACAAATCGGGTAGCTTACAGGATTTGAGATATCAATGTTTTGTAGCAGGATAGTTGTGATAACACTCTTAGGGCTATATAAACACCTGCTTAGCACACTTCCGTTCATTCCACATGGTGCTGCAGTGGCAGCTGGAGGGCAGTGGAGGAGGATAGGATGGGAAGGGGAGGCAAAACCGACACCAACAGGCCTAAGGTGCAGTTAGGTATTGATATGTCATTCTACGTGAGTCATGATTATGGCGATGCTCTCTACTACGAAACTCCTTTTTGTTGCGTAAGTGTCTTCTCCACAAGGGGCTGGTGTCACAGGTGGAAGGGACTACAACAGAAGGCGTAAAACCTACGCAGGTTGGGAAGGTCCAGGCGGCTGACGGGGGACCAATCTGGTCTTCCTTATGAAGAAAATGCTTCAAAACCCAACATAATGCTAAAACCGACCTTCGCCGAATTCATCGCCTTCAAAGCTCCACTGTTTTGAAGAATGAGAATGCGTAAACTCATTCTGATTGGACCAAGTTTGCGGTTAGAAGTTTATTTCGCCGAAATACATACATTTGAAGGTTGAGGAGTAAAAACGGCAAAACTTTCTAAGTAATCCAGTACTTCGTCTTATGTCTGATGACTAATTTTAGTGGTGTAGAAAAATGACCAGTGAAACAGTGACAAAGATTACTGTTGATCAAAATCGTTACAGAAATACTTGAAAATTGGTAAACTACCTCGTCATGAAAAAACAACGATTGAGACGATCTATCAAGGAAAAGAAACCCCTGGGTTCAAGAGTCTCTTTCCGAAGTGGGACGACAAGCTGTTCAGAAGTGTAAGTGTTTACATTGTCCTGGTGAAACAGACCCATGAGAAAAGGACTGCCAAAATATAAGAACCTCTTTAGGGTGAACGCTCAGTGCAGAACATGAGGAAACTTCTCTTCAACTGATGGCGAAAATTACATAATTTGCTTTTTAGTTGTATGGATTCCGTAAGCCTCCTATTTTGTTGTAACAAAATCTTGTAAACAGCAAGGCCCAGTGCTCAGTTGAACAGTTTATGGTACTAAACTGTGTTCCTACATTTGTATTCGCCTTTATCCTTAGAGGTATATTCCAGGTGTCCATTTACAAGGCACTTATGGCTGTAGTTTTTTGGAAATACAATACAATACAATCCTCGAAATTCTATGAAATCGCTCGTCAAAAAAATTCTTCCAAAGCCGCAGCTTTTCTCAGATGGAATGAGTAAAATCGACTTTTTCTATTGCTTGTTCTCGATTTATTGCACGCTGACACGTTTGACGCGATATGCCCGTCCAATGTAACCGGTGCTGCTGATACGTTACGCAAATTCTAAGGGCAATCATACAAGGATTGCATTTTTTGTTACTCATTGATAACCCACATCTCGATGCTGATAAGCAGTTCTAAAATGTGTATAAAACAATGTGAGACTTCAAAATTTTATTGCAAAAGACTCAAAACTTTTTACAAAAGAAATTGCAAAATGTGTGTTTGCAAAAGTTTTGCAAAAGCTTTAGGTCCTTTTTTGGCGAGCTTTCGGCGCTTAGCGCCTTTGTCGAGCCTGAAATGAATAATTAGAAGCTTTTTTATTTGTATGTTTATTTATTTATTTATTGTCATCATATCCAGGTAACAGCTTCTCCAAACATAGAACCCAACAACATGCCCAAGGGGATCCACCCACCCTCAACGTAAAAGTCCTACACCGTTCCGTTGAAAACACAGTGGAACGCAAAATACTGGAGGCTCTGGAAATAAAAAGACTAGCCCCGGAAATAAATAGCAGAGACGAGTTACGTGACTCTCTTCAACTCATCGCATGACTGCAGTTATCATCACTGTGGAATGAATGCGATATTTTGGGAAATAACGGTCGTAGCACGTCAACGCTATTTAAGGGTAAGTCTAGGGTAGGGAATAGTTCCTGCTTCACAGACCAACAAGGGTGGTAAGTGTTACACTTTGAGTTAAAAAAGCTTCTAATTATTCATTTCAGGCTCGACAAAGGCGCTAAGCGCCGAAAGCTCGCCAAAAAAGACCTAAGCTTTTGCAAAACTTTTGCAAACACACAATTTTGCAATTTCTTTTGTAGAAAGTTTTGAGTCTTTTGCAATAAAATTTTGAAGTCTCACATTGTTTAATACACATTTAGATCAACATGAGACTTCGGAACAGAACAATTCTAAGGTAAGCAGTTCATTCACCATGGAGCCCCTTAAAAACCAATCCCAGTAAGCTCTAGTCATTCACAACAGGACCATGGTAGCACGTCATGTAGTCATTATCACTCTTTTTATCTCCGCCCTTTCCAGAAATTCTAGTAGATAAGTAGACATTACGAATATGGACACATTCCGGACATGTTCTCCAGAATCTCAATTTAAAACTCTGTGTGTTT